TTACATAATGATACTATAAGCATCACTAATCACTGTTAGCTCTTCAACCACTTTTAGAAAACTACAGTTATTGCTCTACAATTTTTGTTTGTTCTGTTCCATTTCTATTGCCTGATAAAAATGAAGAAAAATAATATGCTTCATGGTAGGAAAAGAAATTCTCACACCAAACCAATTTTGAGTCTGCATTCACATTTTGATAATCTGGATAATGGCTTAACAATATAAATGTCTTAGTGGGCTCACCAGTCATTTTGTTATATATAAAAATGCTATTCGGTTGATCAAAACACTGCATTTAGATTCCACATTATAAAGTAGAACTACTCCAGCCATATGCTACAATGGTGGCTTTTGAGTAGTTTCTGTGAATTATAACACTACCTGTACATTTTTGTTCTTTTTGTTTTTGCTTTTGAAACACAAGGCTACTTCTATCAGTGAGAAATGATTCCATAAGTATTGTCCACTGGGAATTTTAAATCACATGTCCACTTCCTGGTTTGGCTTGGTTTGTGAAGCAGTGTCTCTTGCAATATTCTCCTCCTAAAGATGTCCCACTTCCACAGGGAGAACTTCTATGCAGTTCTAGAAATCTCAGTGAGGGAGTGCTTTAGTATTATTGTCATGAGAATCACATGGATAGCTGAATCCAAGTCAAGACTAAATTTTATTTTAAAGATTTATGCATACAAGAGTTGGGGTGTAAGCCAGAGGTGTTGGGGGTGAGAGGATTCACCAGAGACAGAGTGGGGGACAGAACAGGTGGATTGACTGCTGAAATACACTGCTGAGGGGAGCAGCAGGCAGACAGAGTAGATCTGCTGTGCCATGTGGGTAGCTCCCTGCCTGGGGATTGAACTCATGCTGCGGAGGCTATGGATAGCTTCACGGTACTGCTTCTTAACCCCTTGTGCCACTAGGGAGGCCCCCAAGACTAAATTTTAAAAAACACATCACAGGTGATATACACATGCCTTTGGCAGGCCATCTTGCCTTAACAGCTTCCAAAACACGTGAGTTCTAGGACTGTGAGGTTAGGAGTCTAGGGAAGGCTCAGCAGTCTGTGGCTGCTGGCTCAGAGAGAGTGAATGGATCCATTTCATTTGTGTTGTTCTATGAATAAGCAAAAGGAGTCACTTGGTGGATCCCACTGCTTGGTTCTTAATGACATCTTAATTAGTTCCCCCTCTGGGTAAAGGCCTGTGGTGGGTCCTGGTGACCTGATGGGGAGTGGTAGTCGGCTACTGTCCTCACAGGAAGTGGCTACTGGTCAAGGAATAGAAATAAATTTGAATTTTTCAAAAGCCTTGGAAAATAGTGAAGGCTGTGAGTGCCAGGTGCTAAAACATCAGCCCAGAATGGAATCACCCATGTAAAACAGCATCCAGATGACACGGCCTCTGGGTATGGACGGGGTCACCTTCATGTTTGACCTATAAAGACAGGTGGGGCAGCAGCCCAGGTATCTATATGTCAGTCTGCCTGGAGCTGTCCCCTCCACACCATCGGGGACCCCTTGGACATTCATTTATTATAGGAGATAATTTTTCCCCAATAAAATATTCATTATTTAAATTTTATTTACGGTCTCCTTTTATCTGGAAGCTTTTAGGCCAAGCAATCAGTCCACAAAGTGTTCATAAATCAGGAATTACTCTATAAATGTTTGACTGCCTTTGTTTCGTCTTCTCCTCCCTGCCTGTTTATACTGTAATATTAATAAATGCAGCATTTTAATGAGCTTTGACGGAATTATCTTCAGAGAGTTGGTGCAGCGTGTTCCTGGGAGACTCATAACTGAAGTTCCCAGTTTCTGGAAGGAAGTCTGCTCCTTATTAGCTGGGACGGTGCGGAGTGAGCCGGCGCGAGGCAGGGACCCGCGCTCCAGCCCACCTGTGCCTCCGCAGGACCGGCCCGTCTCTGCCCTGCTGTGGGGTAACCCGGGGGCTTTCATTAAAAGTGTCAGATGGTGTCCCCAGAGCCAGTGCTGATGGGATGTCATGTGGGGGTCTCTGGAGGGGAACGCTGACACCTACTAACAGTCTGACAAACGGTTAAGTAGCTTGGATGGAGGAAGGAGCGGCTCCTGCCTGAGCAGTGAGCTCCAATTTGTCTCCTCTTCCATGTTCATGGTCACTGAAGAGGCCACGTGTTCTTCTACATTGGCAGGTGCATCCCCGCCTGCCCCTACCCTGCCCGCTGCACAGCATATTCCAGAGGAAAGCTGTCTTGAAGTAAGCAAGAGACCTTTTGCTGACACGGAGGGATTTGGTGTAGCTTAGATTTTGGCTGCCCCGTGTTGGAAACACCCCCTCGGGTTGGGGCATCTGCCATGGTGTGAGTTGGAGGAACCCCCTTGCAGTCACAGATGCTGAGAGCCAGTACCCCACTTCTGAGCCCTGGTGCTTAAGGTGGGGGCTCTTGGCTAGCCGGGACCATCAGAAACGTCCCTCAAGGTCCTTAAATCTACATCAAATGAGGCAAAAAAGCTCGAGGAGAGGATTTATACTGGAGGCAGCCACACTAGGGCCAGGACAGGAGGGCATGTGGGTGCCACATCACATTTTCAGCTGGGGCGATACTGACTGGGGAGGTTCCGGTATCCCTAAGCACGTGTCCCTAAGCACTTTTGACTTCTAGTAATTTTTTGAGACCTGATTTTCCAATCTTTGAATTGATTTTGAGAGTTGTTTGCTATCATTTGAATAAAGTCCCTTTTTGCTACATTTAGACAGCACCTCCTTATGTTGTTTGTAATTGATTGCAAAGTATTTGCAACCATCCCGTGTGTTGCTTGATGGTTTCCCTACTGACCACTGAGATACTAGCAATGACTTAACAGCTCTGGCCCAGCATCAGAGTGTCCAGGCCACTAGTCAATTGAATGAGATCTCCTGTTTAGTAATAATGCCTCTGACCTGTGCACCTGCACTTCTTTCTTTTTTAAATATAATCACCATGCAGGCCCCAGCCCGTGTCAGTCTATCGACGCGCAGTAACTCAGAGCTCTGGTTATTAAGTGAATTAGATGTAGGTTCACTGACCTAAATGGTAGGCCAATAGGTCAAGAGCTGGCTCACTCTTTGCACTAGACCTTGGCCTGGGATTCAGGCCTTTGTTGGAGAAACATCTGCCCTCATGCCCCCAATTAATTCAGTGTGCCCAGATCTGTGTCAACGTGCTGAGGAGTCTGGGCCTCTTCATGCCATATGGTCCTATATGGTCCTTACAGAGTCTTCAGTCTCTCACTCAAGGCTCCCCGCCACACCCAACAAAATAAGACAGAATTTTTACCTGGTTATTTTTTGGGTCCAACTTGGAATTTTGACTTCTCTGACTACTTCTTCTTCCTCCTCCTCCTTCTTCTCATTATTATTATCACTATTACTACTATTATTTTGTTTTTTGTTAAATCTTTTTTTTAAAGATTTATTTATTTATGCATATAAGAGCTGGGGTACAGGTCAAAGATGCGGGGGTGGGGGGTGAGAGGATTCACCAGAGACAGAGTGGGGAACAGAACAGGCAGACTGAAATACAGCTGAAATACACTGCTGAGGGGAGAAGCAGGTGAGTCAGGAGAGGTCTGCTTTGCCATGTGGGTTTCTCCTTGGCCGGCTGGGGATCGAACTCGTGCTGCAGAGGCTGCAGATTGCTTCATAGTGGGGTGCTCAATCCCTTGTGCCACCACGGAGGCCCACTATTGTTATTTTGGGTGTGTGAGGTAGGGTGGAAAACAGGCAAAGAGGTGAGCTGTGAAAGTAAGGATTAAGCTTCATGGTTTTTAAGATAAGAACTTGGGACTTCCTCTACTGAACGATGCTTCACATGTGTCAGAGCACCAAACGTGTGTCTCGTGTTCTTAAGACGTACAGAGGTGTGCAGGGGCGATGAGGCCATTCACTCCAGAGGGCAATTTTAACTCCCAAATAGCCTCTTTGGTGCTGTTCTCACTTCTCATGGCCACACTCAAGCCGATACATTATCAGAGGTTCCTGGTGAGAGAAGATTATATAATTATACAGGCTCAAAGAGAATGTGGAAAGGAAACAGTGATGAGCTTCATTTTTAAAACAAAACACAGAAGAGACCTCTCTTATGGCCACACTGTCCACATCCCCATAGTGATTGGTTCCCAAGGCTTCTCCTGGGTGTGTATCAGGCTGACCCACCAATACATTGGGTCCTTGGACCACATAGGGGTTGGAGGGGTTCAATCTCCCACACAATAAAAAATCTGAGGGCCTCCGCTGGTGGCGCAGCAGGTTGAACGCAGCGCTGTGGAGCTGTCTGCAGCCTCTGAAGCGCGGGTTCGATTCCCGGCCGGCCAGGGAGATTTCCACAAGGCGCAGCAGACCTCTCCTGCCTTGCCCGCAGCTCCCCTCAGCGGTATATTTCAGTCCTTCTGCCTGTTCTCATCCCCACTCTGTCTCTGGTAAATCCTATCACCCTCCCGCGCCACTGGCCTGTACCCCAGCTCTTGTATAAATAAATAAATCTTAAAAAAAAAAAAACCTTTAAAAAAAATCTTAAATCTTAACTACTAACAACCTGCTATTGACCTGATATCTTACCAATAACACTAACAGCAATGAACACCTCTTTTGTGTTGTATGTTTTGATACTGTCTTATTATAAAGTAAACTAGAAAAGAAAAAATGTTTTTAAGTAAATCATAAGGAAGAGAAAATACTTTCATAGCACTGCTCTGTAGTGGTTGGTGCCCTAAGTTGGCACCATCTGTGTACAAGAAAATCTGCGGTAAGTGAACCTGACTTGTTCAAACCAGTGTATGTTCAGACTCCAACATGGGTGGTCCTGCACAGCTCCTGAATTTCCACATAGGGCGTCCACAGGGTGGGCTGGAAAGAGAGCCCCGTTTTATTGTTATGGAAATGCTTGGCTTCCTCTACTTGGCCCCTGTCACTAGCACCTTCATTTTTTGTTGACCGAGGAGATTTATTTGTCTTTAACCAATGTCTGTGTTCTCCTTCCAGGGAAAAGTGACCCTTTCTGCTTGTTGGAGTTAGGTAATGACCGGCTGCAGACGCACACCATTTACAAAAACCTCAACCCTGAGTGGAACAAAGTCTTTACATTGTAAGTGTTTTAGCTTCTGGAATATCAGGGAAGGGCCTTAACTAGAGACCCATTGTCCTTGCTGTGTTTGGGCCAAGATGGATGTTTGGCTGGATGTTTGGGCCAGGCTGGAGTGAAACTCTCTGTCCATCTTTATGTGCAAAAAATGGACTTTATTGTTTGTTTTTTTTTTTTTTCTGAAAACCTTTTCTCCTTTCAATTTATAGAGTACAGTGTTAATAGGAGAGGGAAGTTGGAGATGCAGGGAGTGTTAAAGGAAGCACGTGTAAAGAAGACCATGTAGCGACTCAATTAATCTAGGAGTAGATGGAAGCTTCCATATATCTGGACCAATTCATTCCTGGGTTAAAAGAAAATCATAAATGAAGACCCGCCTTAAATTCAGGGAGTTTATCTCTCATAACATTATTTTAATGCCTGAAAGTCTTGGCTTCTGCCAAAGTCTTTCAGAAAATACAGACATCCTGTGATTCCTCATCAGCTCCCTGTACTCCATCCAGCCTCCGTCACCCTCTCTATAATGAGGCCCTGCAGTTTTTTCAAATTCAGGAACTTGGGAGGCTGGATCTGTTTCCTAGTTTAATTCCTAAGGCCCCTCATCCTCAAAGTGGGGCCTCCGATGAATTTGGGTGAAAAGGTTGGTCGCTGCTCTGGCCACACTGATGAAATGCTCCATGATGCTTCTCATTGAAAGAATAAAGTCTGTTTTGAACAGAGTTGATGACATTAATAGAAAGATCCCCAGAATCTAGGAGAAGTTTATTAACTGCTAAGCAGGTTTGCAAATTGCCCTATGAAGAGTCTCTGGTTTCCCCAGCACATTGCCAGTACCCTTTGGGGCTGACATGTGACTTCTGGTCAACATAAATAATGTTGGTAAACGTAGGGTTACTGATATTTTTGTTTCAGTGATAGACAGCTTTCTATGTGTCTCTGAAAATAGTGATTCCGAGCACCCTTTCTTAAGGGAATTATTTATTAATGGAAAATTGAGAATAGCTTGACTTTGCTCTTTTCTCTTGGAAGTTACGTTGAAATCTCTGTCTTTTCAGCCTTTTTCTTCGCCCTGCTTCCTCAACCCCTTGCCTTGAGGGCATGTAGACAGGGAAAGCATCACAGTAAAAAGTTGACTTTTTTTTTCATGTGGATGTCTGGATCTCCTATGATGGAAGGTTTGGGAATACAGTCAGTTTGATTTAATTTTTGGAGTTTAATTAAATGGTAGTTTTATACTCTAAGGACATACAGACTTAATTAGTGAAACCGTGTTTTCAGATCTTCACGGAACAGACTGCACTTGTGTGTTTTTGTATATAATACGCGGTGTGTTTCTTGTTTCAGTCCTATTAAAGATATTCATGATGTTTTGGAAGTGACAGTGTTTGATGAAGATGGAGATAAACCCCCTGATTTTCTTGGAAAAGTTGCCATTCCCTTGCTGTCCGTAAGTTACCTTTGTTAATAAACAATTTGTGAGTCATATTACAAATTGATAAATTTCCATGGTCTAGTGTTTCTTTATCTTTGTCAATCAGGGGGAAAAATCCCCTCAGATCTAGCAGGAAACAACTGTTTAGCCTTTATTCTTACTCAGTATTTTCAAGTTTCAGATAAAAAGTAACATAATTTTTTGTGTGGTCAGTCTAATGCTAAGCTAACCACCCAGAACATTTTGATTGGTCTTTTAATCCACCCTTAATCTCTTTGTCTGCAGGTGGGACTCTCCCTTTGGTTCCAGGGAATCCATAGCTATGAATAATTTTCCATTTGTTAAGGAAAAACATACATGTGTTTCTTTATTACCTCTTTACTGCCCGTTTCTTCAAAGATTAATTGCTGGTTACGCCACCTTTGTTCTTGGTTCTGCTAAAAAGCATCATTTTCGAACGTTCTATTTGTCTTTTTAGAGTCGTGTTTGCCTTCAGTCTCAAAAACTGCTTTGTGGGAGTAAGCGGAGAGGCTCTTGGAAGGCTGTGTCTGGCAGTCCAATTAAAAGATAACATAGTAGAGAGTAAAGTAAGCTCAGCACCGAATGGAAAAACACCCTATAAAATTCCTTGCAGAAAGCACAAAATAATGCCTTTGCATGGGTAGTGGGGGACACCGGGGTCTGATGTGACTTATTCATTGAAAACTAAAGTTTGTGCAGGTGTTTTGTTTTTTTTTTTTTTAAAGATTTATTTATTTATTTATTTATTTATTTAAGCAAGCACTGTGTACAGTCAGGAGCGCGGGAGGGTGAGAGGATTCACCAGAGCCAGAGCAGGGAACAGAACAGGCAGACTGACGAAGTACACTGCTGAGGGGAGCAGCGGGTGCAGCAGGAGAGGTCTGTGCACCATGTGGGGCCCTCGCCTGGCAGCCAGGGATTGAACTGGCACTGCAGAGGTTGCAGGCAGCTTCGCAGCCGAGCGTTCAACCACTGTGCCACCAGGGAGGCCCATGCCAAGTGTTTTCCAGAGGAAGGTGTTTTGTTTTTCATCCAACTACTAATACAACATACCATGGGGTCGCTGTGGCCTTATCAGTCAATACTGCTTTATGCATTTCACCCCAATCTTCTTTCTTCCAAAACTGGGGTGCATTTTGTATTTGCAGCCGTCTGCAATTAAACCCTCAGTTTACACTAGCTCATCTGATGTTTGAGAGGGGGGCGCCATACTTCTCAATTCCTGGGCTGTTTTTGATCATCTGGCTAATTTATCTCCCAGTCCTCATACCCCTGATGTTTCTGGAAGAGAGTGGGGAACAGCTGCTCCCTGGTAGAGGCAGCCCCTGGCTGGCTGCTGAGCTGCAGCCTTGCTGGATCTGGGACAAGAGATGGTAATATGGGATTTCCCTCCTTTTTTTATTACAACTTTGTCAGCTATTCCTGAAAGAATACGTGTAACGAGAACATGGCACAGCTTGGAGAGAGGGCTGAGATGAGATGAAAGATTCCCCTTCACCATTAGTGTCCTCTTTTTGCTCCCTTTTTTAATCCTTCCGGGCAGCTCTCCTCTAGTTTTTATAGATAGCTTTGTGAGTTTGGTGTTTCTATAACCCAGCAAGCTGACCCTCTGTCTCCCCTCCTGCCCCCTGTAACATGCAGTGTCCCTGCGCTGATGAGCTGGAGCCCAGAAATGACCTGAAGCCCCTCCACACTACTGACGTTTTGGAGTGGATCATACTGGCTGTGTGTGTGGGGGGGGTAGGTCCTGGTACATTGTGGGATGTTTAGCTGCCTCCCCTGGCCAGATGCCAGTCACACTGCCCCCTCCCACCCTGTGGTGACCACCAGCAACATCTGCAGATGTTACCAAAGTCCTAGCATAGTCACCCCAGCAGAGGCCTCTGCCCTCCTGCACTCCATCTTGTAGCCTCCATGCCTCACGGTGCCAGGCAGAGTGAGCCACGCGACACCTGACCCCTGCACTTTTTTTACAGGTTGGCGATGAGATGCTCCAAGATCTGGGTTCACTTGTTTGATAAATGTTTATCAAGTGTCCGCTTTGGACACTAACTTTAGGACAGAATGTCCTAACAATGACTGCAGTGAAGTGTCCTCCTTTTTGGGAAATATTTTGGTTGCAGGAGATAACATGCGAACAAACAAACAATGCAGCAGTGCACGGTGTTTTGGGGGGAGGTGTGTGTCAGAGCATAAATCAAGGCTGGCCCCCGAGGACCAGGTCAGGGCCCGGTGCAGCTGCCCATGGCGGCCCGGGAGGGGCATTTGAGGGAGGCATGAAGGAGGGAGGCATGTGGATGTCTCAGCAAACTCTTCAGGGCAGAAAGTACTGACATTCGAAGTGTTGGTTTGACTCTGGAAACAGCAGGGGGGCTGCCTGGACGGAAGGAGCAGCCGGTGGGAATGTGGGAGCTGGAGCTAGTAAAGGATGCAGAGTAGGGGATGGGGGGGGGGGGTCCTGTGAATCAGGCAGCTGGAGAGTTTGCAGGACATGAACTGTTGGTGGTGATGGAAGCTGCCAGAGTGGGGGGTGGAGGTCGGGGGTGGGGAGGGGTGTTGATCGGGGTCTACTATTTGTTTCTGGTTGAAAAGGCCGAGGTTCCCAGGCCAGTGAGCCCAGATGGGACAATTCTGCATGGTGTGAAGGCAGCAGGCCAAGGCCTTGTTTCAGTGGCTTTGCTGAGTGTGGCTGCTTTAATCTAGATTCCGATCCAGTTCTTTCTTTGACCATTCCTCTGGGAAGTGGAAGCACCTGGCTGTGACCTGTTGGGTGCCTCCAACACTCAAGGACCCCACTCAACACTCATTGTCCAAGGCACCGAGTCTCACACCCCAGTGTGGATAAAACTTCCACAGAAAAAATGCCAGAGCCCTTGGATCTATATTAGACAAATGATAAATTGTTAATCAACTCATTTGATCTCCAGCTATTTCTCACTTGTTATTTAGAGGGTATGTTTTAAAATCTAGTTATTTGGATCTAGATTTTTTCTTTTTCAAAGATTTATTTATTTATGCTGGCAAAAACTGAGGTATAGGCCAGAGGTACAGTGGGGTGAGAGGATTCACCAGAGACAGAGTGGGGAACAGAACAGGTGGGTCTACTGAAATACACTGCTGAGAGGAGCAGCGGGTGAGTCAGGAGAGGTCTGCTGTGCCATGTGGGTAGCTCCCTGGCTGGCTGGGGATCAAACTCATACTGCAGAGGCTGCCAATTGCTTCACAGTGCTGTGCTTAACCCCCTGCACCAGCAGGGAGGCCCCAAGATCTAGGTTTTTCCTTTGTTTATATCTACTGAGCAATACTTACCTAGCAAATCTGGTGCTATGCGCTTTTCATTGGCTAAGTCATCCCTTCTCAGACAACTTAATGGGATGGTTTTTTCTTCTGACCACTTAGAAATGAGGGGGCTGGGCATGGGTTAGAACCTGTAGCTGGATGTGAGTGTAGACTGTCTCCTCTGAGGGCCTGAGCTCCTGGGTTTGTCACCTGCACAGTGGTCATCCATCATGTAAATATCAAGCCCACAGAAAGAAGCAAGAGTCTTCTGTGCAGCCAGTGGACTGGGAGCTGTCAGGGTGCAGGCAGGGGGAGCACAGAATTGGAGACATGCATCTTGGTGTGAATACACAGGAGTGAAATATCAATTGCCATAGAAAAGGAATGGTGAGAGCTGGGCTGCAAAGCTGCCCGCAGCCTCTGCAGTATTGGTTCGATCCCCGGCCGCTGCTGGCAAGGGCTCCACATGGCGCGCAGACCTCTCCTGCCGCCCGCTGCTCCCCTCAGCGGTGTACTTCAGTCCTTCTGCCTGTTCTGCTCCCTGCTCTGGCTCTGGTGAATTCTCTCACCCTCCCGCGCTTCTGACTGTACCCAGTGCTTATATAAATAAATAAATAAATCTTTAAAAAAAAAAAAAAAAAAAAGGAAAGGAATGGAAAATGCAAGGCAGAAGGGATGGATTTCCCCTTAGGAAGACTTTAGGAAATTGAGAGCTTGAGATGGTGAGGCAGGAACAGGATGTGGATAATGATAGCCGGTGAGGTGAGGGATGGAGCCTTTCCAATCAGAAGGTGGAGCATGAGCAGGGATGCAGAAGAGGACCCCACATCCAGATTCTGGAAACAGGCCTTTATGCCTCATGCAGAGAGTTGAGCGGGGAGGTAGGGAAAGAGACAAATGCGGATCATGAAGGGTGAGGGAGGTTGGGAGTTATTCTATAGTAGGGAACCCCTGAAGTCTTTTGACCGGGGAATGTAGATATCTGAACAGCTGATTAAGGAAGTAAGTTTAGCCCAGAGTGAAGCAAACTGAAGTGGAGGAAGACTCTTTTGGGAGGAATTGGTTGAAACTGCAAAATTAAACATCCAAAGGAAAACCCTTAGACATCATGTTTTGTGTCTTGTAGATGAAGGGTTTATGTATCTGCTTTTTCAGTATAAGAGAGAATCCTGGAAATGCATTGTGAGTGCTTCACGGTTATTTTTATAGGGGATGGACAGTATTTGATAATAACCTACAAAAAATAAAAGTTGTATTTTGCAGAGAAGTGTGAATATTTTTAGGACAATACATTTCTTTAGTCAAGTCATAGACTAAAACGACTTATAATTTTAGAGAAAATGCAAATTGCATTTTAAAATATCTAAGCACAAAGTATCTCTAATGTATTTCAACTTTTAATCTTTCTCAAAATGGTAATATGCCAAGGGCATTTAAGCCTGTTCGCCTGTTCTGAATTCACTATGTCTTAAATCAGTATGAAGGTACTGGTTGATTATTGGCTCATTTAAAATCCATATTCTAAGATCATTATATCTGCTAATGCTGGTGAATTGTTTAAAACATATACATGTACTTCAACGTGGGTCGGGATTGAAAAAGTTCACACCAGTAATCCATACTTGCCTGTGTTTCATTTCTTTTCAAAATTTTACTGAATACTTATTTAAAAAGTGATTTTCTGGGGCCTCCCTGATGGCGCAGGTGGTTGAGCA